TTATCATTCGATTTTTGTGAAACTTTGTAATTTGTGAGTATTCTGTTCATGAAAGAGTTTGAAATTGATCATTCTTTGATGAATGGTTTTTTAGTTCATCTGTTTTGGCTGACACTTGATATACTTGTGGATTGATAAGGTCTCTGACCAGTTTGAAGTTCTGAATGATCATGAAACAATTTTCTGGGTTATTGCCCTTGACTATTTATTAGGGCCTAATTCACTCTAATGGATGCACCAAATCATAACATCAAACCTCTTCAATGGTAATTATGAATACAATTCGTACCAAATGTTACCATGTTTCAACTTCAATTGAAAGAATGAATTTTTTTTTTTCAGTTAAAGGGGTAGTCAGATTTCTTAAGTTGTCTTGGAAAGTTAGGTGCTCAAATTACTGAAAACTATAGACCAAACTCTAGAAAAATGTCTCCCTTACCTAAAGCGCTTACCTATTTAAAAGGTTCTAACTAATATTAACAAGGCCAACACCAAAATCGTTATTTTAGAAATCTTTTCACGTTTTTAATTATGAAAGTTTTGCAGACTGCCCCTTTAATGATTGAACCTTACTTAAAACACAATTAACAGTCAGTAAGTTCTGATTAAAAAAAGCAGCAATGCATATCAAAGACAAACTAATGCCAATAACAATGTAAAAGACATTTTCCACTCCATAGAATTACAATTCCATATTAGTACATTTACAGACAAAATCCTGCAGCATTGTTAGAGAAAATGGCATTTAAATTTTTAAAAAAAGACATAGATACTTGACTTTGCAAAGGACATATGTGCAATTTTCGGGGGTTGATTTTAATTTGAATATATGTAAATAGTATTCAGAAGTGCTAGAAATTTTACTCACTATATATCACAGAGTATCACAAATTGACAACTTGTCATTTTAACATAAAATCGCGCTAAATTTTGGACACACATGTAAAGGCTCGTATTTCGACAGTGAGCTGTGAACACTATTACTGATTGGCTTAGCTAAAAAATTCCTGTTTCTGAGACTAAAGTATGATTGGTCAAAAAAAATTGGAGCCTCTGTTCCTTTAAGTATACCTCCCTTTCATATCATATCTAAATGTTTAATTGACAACTGGCTGCCATCCATCCGAACCTGTCTGTGAACGTGAAGGAGACTACAGAATATAGTGCGCTCAGCTTCTTACCATTGAGTGAATCTGAACAACGTCCTGGTCACTGTGAATTATGTGCATCCACTTTTGATAACTATAATGCAATGCTAGTGATTGGTAATATGGCATATTTCACAACTTAGACCATTACATATTATGGGGTTTTAACGCACAGTCGGTTAGAGCATTGGTTTTTCACATGACGTCATTTCCTTGGTTCAAACAAATGACAGCTGTAGGTTCTTATCTCAGTCAATATTTGAAAGGCTAATGACCTTAGAAAGTCATCTTCACTCATAATTCCAGTCGACCCAGCTGTAAATGGGTATTGGTAATCCGAGAAAGATCAAAACCAAGAGGTTTGACCAAGGACCAGTTTGTAGAAAGGATCCTTAATTGTGAACCTAAGTTGTTATCCTTGTAAAATATAGTCATATCTGTCTTTTCTTTCACAGTTTTCATCCTGATATGATTGGCTATTGCATTGTAATAATAATAGTGTTTCTGCTTGTTCTACATATCTACCTTCTAAGGCACTATAATTTTCTATTTTTATATATCTATATATCTAAAGCTAATATTTGCAAAGATCTGGTATACATTTTCAAGGAAAATTTTTTGTTAAGATTTAAACCAATGACATATAATGTGTTATTTTTGGTCAAAGATTCTGTCAAAGATAAGATACTTACTCACTTATGATTGATATACTTCCTCATGTGAAAAGTTCATAAGCTTCTACCATTAAATAACAGAACACAATTTTATGGTATACTACTCCTGATGATGACAATGTAGATTGTTGAAAGGTAGTGTGTAATAAAAACTAAGAAGTAAGTATACCATAAAATTGTGTTCTGTTATTTGATGTGATCTCTACCCCTAAATGTCACTAAAGGATTAAGCATCTACCAATGTTTCATCAAAATGTTGTTCCAGATTTCGGGTTTCATTTTGCGGTTTGGATCATACTGGTTTTATTTATTTGAATGAAAAAAATAAGGGAAATTATTCACTTGTCAAAAGCTTACTCATATCTAATTTATAACTATCGAGGGATTTTTTATATGTGCTATTTAGCACACAGCATTCATATTCTCTAAGCAGCCATATGTGTACATAGGTTGTTATGTTAATATATCAAATGCATGAATTAGATATTTTGTAAAATATTATTTATGGTTTTATGGTTATTTGTGTGCAGGATCAAACTGTTTCTAATAATGTTAAAATTCTGAAATCATTTAAGGAATGAATGTGGATCTTGTTATCGTT